TTCAAGGGAGAGTAATACGCTGAATAGGAAGTATGTGACCATTTCTGTGAACCAGAAACTGGAACTTATAAGGAAGTTAGAGGCTGGTGCTTCGGTGGCTAGAGTTTGTGACGAGTATGGTGTTAAAAAGCAAACAGTTTCGGACATACGCAAGGCTAAGGACAAACTCACTGCATTTTCTTTGAAATGTAATGCAATATTATGCAATATTAACCCCTAAATCTGTTAATTCGGACAATCGGCTAAAACGGACACCCTTCACCCCCCCCTATTAGTCCGTTTTAACGAGGGTCGATTGTACCTGTATGTATTGGGTGCATTATTGAATGTTCCTTATTCAGGTGACATCGAGTATTTTGGTGATATTGAGTATCTTGGTGATATTGGAAGAGTGACCTAGGTAAGCAGGTCAGGTATTTTGTATGGAGAGAAGACCTTAATAATAGCTTGGGCAAGGTCAACTATTTTTGTATTATGACTGAATGCATTATTTTTAATATGTCTAAAATAAATTAGTTAAGGATACTGGTTGGTGTTTCACCCTTACTTCCACCATCAACTTGATTTATGAAAAACAGAAACTCACAGTGCCTAGACTGCTTGCCAGCTACCTAAACAATACTACACATACTGTCCTGTGGTATGGTGACAGCGACCTTAAGTTAAGAGGTAAGTTTAGAAAAACCTTGTATTAAGTTACCGCAATAAAGGGCAGTATACAGTGAGAAGTTGGCAAGTTTCTCTCAAATGATTAATGACTTTCTTAAATACAAAACTGACAATAATTTTAATACAGTCATCAGATTCTCTGACTGAATCAGAAAAATTTAATATCAGTAGTGAATAGAAATCTCGTAACTTCTCGACTTACTTGACAATTTCACTACACGTAAATACAGTTGAAGCTTTCAACATCACTCACAATGGATCTTGAATGTTTCAGCAATAAGCAGTAATACATTCGCATTTACTGCATTTGAGGACAGATGGTTTGACATAACGCTGACCCACATTGTGTTCTCAGAAGGGGTTATTAGAAATAAATTGTCAAAGGTAAAGGTTCCAAAGAGTCCCGGCCCTGACATAGTGCACCCCAGAGTACTAAGAGAGTTGTGCAACAAGCTTGCTGAGCCCTGAAGATCATGGTTTGTAAATGCTTGGATGAGCAAAAGGTCCCCAGTGTTTGGAAAATGGCTTATGCGAGTCCTATTTTCAAGAACAGCGATCGTCACTCCACGAATAATTATAGACTAGTGACCCTGGCCAGCATAGTGTGTAACGTACTTGAGAGCATTAGGTATTATTTTAATTTCGATTTTTTCAAAGGGAGGGGCCAAAGTATGGATTTCAATTTCAATGACCAGTGTGACAATGGCTGTGGTAGAGGTTGGGTGTAAATCATGCTCCTACAATTATACTAAGTTTATTGCCGAGTTTTACGAGAAAGAAGATCAAGCTATCCAATTCCTACATAATCATGGTGTTCTCCCTATGTCTGTTGAGTGCCTGCACTGTAAATTGCCTTGTAAATTTAGAAAGAACAAGCATCAGAGGTTGACCCTGAACCTATCCCTGGTCCTTCTGTAAGGGGGATCTTTTTTTATATTTCATATTTATTTTCTTTATTCTTCAATACTTATATACTTGCTTCATATCTACATTTTATATTAACCTTTTCTTGTGTATATATTAATATTATTTTCTAAGTCTTTCTGTCTATAAGTATATATCATATTTTTTTTTCTAAGTTAATATTCTTTTCTATACTTTATTCCTTCTGTCATATATAATACTGTATTGTATTTTCTGAAAATTATATCCTTTCTTTCTCTCAATTTATTATCATGCTTTGGTTATATTCTATACCATGGATTAGTCTGGGAAAACCATGTCATTCTTACTATAATACTTATTACCGTATACTTATAACGGTAGCCTATCACCACCCAGACTTTTATTAGAATATAACAAATCTCATTGAACTGTTAGGTAGTGTGCTAGCGAGCTTCTAGGCACGCGAGTTACAATAGTTATTTTCACCAACGGGTAGAAGGAATAGAGCGGTGATACTCGATGTTAAATAATTACACTCAAACTAGACTGCACCCCTTAGGTCTTACTTTACAATTCAAAAAATAGATCTTCAATTATTTATTAGTAGATGGGTCAATTCAATTCCAATTCTGAATAAAATTTGAATTAATTAATTCAAATTCAATTAATTTGTAAAATAGAAATCTTCAATTCCAATTCAATTCACAAGCTTTTCAATTCCAATTCATTATGGTCGATATTTCATTCAATTTAATTCAAATGCTTTTTATTTCAAAATCAATTCTAATCTACCATTAATCTGATGGAAAGAAATAAAAATTTGAGGTTTCAAATTAACTTATTTTTTATAAAAAAGTGCTCTACCACACAAACCAATCACATTCTTTACCAACCAAAAGTTCAAATGGTTTAATTCTTTGTGTGGGGTATACTATAACGAATCTAATTGGTTCTAGAACCTCGTTCGTTATAGCATTCATTCATTATAGGATTAATCCATCCCAGGCCCCCAAATACAACCACTTAACACTGAAAATTTTCTGTGGAAAATGTAAAAAATACGGTACTTTATCTTACCTTAGGGTTGTTCAGCATGCAGGGCAGGAGGCAGAGGGGGAGGGGGGAGGAGAGAATTATGGAGAAGAGGTGGAAGGAGAGGAGTCATCCTTCCTAGCCCTCTTTGGTGATTGTCTTACAGGCACTTTGTCTGTAGGGTCTTTTGCTACTTTTTTAAAGAAGGAATCCAGGGTTGGCTGCTTCAACCTTGATTTCTGGACCTTCCAAAAGTAGTTCATCACATTGTCATTAAACACACTGATGCCCTTTTCCACAGCATCAACATCAGGATGATAATCCTCAGCAAGCTTAGACAGTTTGCTCCAGCAAAAGAACACATCCTTGAGATCTTTGGCTGGAATGATGAGGCTTTCCTTCTTGTCCTCATCCACCCGACTCCTCAGAAATTAAGCTCCACTTCAGTGTCTCATTTTCCTCTTTGTGAAGCTCAAGCAGCTCCTCAGTGGACAGCTCCTTTCTGTGCTCTTCCACCAACTCTTCAACATCATCATCATCAACTTCCAGGCCCATGGAATTGTCCAGAGACACAATTTCATGTACAACAGCCTCTTCCTCTAACTCATCGAAGCCTTCAAAGTCTCTTTGAAGGACACATTCAGGCCACAATGGCCTCCAAGCAGCACAAAGACACCTCACAGTAACCTCTTTCCAGGCTGAGGTAATTAAAACAACAGCATCTGCTACATTGAAGTGACTCTTCCAAAATTCCTTCAAGCTAACATCACTGGAAGAAGTGGACGCAAAACATTTTCTAAACAGTGTCTTTGTGTACAGCTTCTTAAAGTTAGAAATTACCTGTTGATCCATGGGCTGGATGAGAGGTGTTGTGTTGGGTGGCAAGAAGTGCACAGTGATGAAGTTGAACTCCTCTGGCAATTCAACCATCAAATTAGGAGGGTGGGCTGGTGCATTGTCCATCACCAACAAAGCTTTCAGTGGAAGATTATTCTCCCTGAGGTATTCCCAAACACTGGGTCCAAACATCTCAATCACCCACTCAGAGAAAAGACTCCTGGTCACCCAAGCCTTTGGGTTTGACCTTTACATAACACCAAGGCGGTTCTTCCTAATGTTTTTGAAAGCTCTGGGGTTTTCTGCATGGTACACAAGGAGTGGTTTTATTTTGCAGTCACCAGAAGCATTAGCACAAAGAAGGAGGGTAAGCCTGTCCTTCATTGGCTTGTGGCCAGGGACAGAAGTTTCCTCCCTTGTAATGTATGTACGGCGAGGCATTTTTTTCCAAAAAAGTCTAGTTACATCACAGTTGAATACCTGCTGAGAAACAAAGCCTCCCTCTTTAATAACATTCAAAAAAATGTCATGGTGTTCCTTAGCTGCACTAGCAGCATCACCATGTCTCACAACACTGTGTAATTTATTTCTTCTTCTGAAACCAGTAAACCACCCCTTGGTACCCCTAAACACTGGCATATCACTATCACTTCCACTGGGAGTCTTGGCTTTAAGATCAATTTTCAATTTCAATTGTTTATTCCTTGATAGAGGAAGTGGGATCCTAGTGCTGTCACTAGGTACCCCTGTACAATGACACAAGAAGCATCTGGCAAGTGTGACAAGTATATACAGTATAAATATTATAAAGGGGCTTACTAAAGCCTAAGGAAGGAAGGATATTCCTTTAACACATAATCAATATTATTTACAAAATATCTGGCCAGTATGGGGAGGATCATCGTGTCTCCGTCAGGGGGTCGTGGAGTGGTGGTCCAGCAGGCGTCACGGAAGCGTTGTGTGTGGGGACATCTTAGGAGGTAGTGGGTAAGGGTGCTGCTGTCGGGTCTTCTGCATAATGCACAAGAGCGTTGCTCAGGGGATGCGGGGATACCAATCTCCCAAGCAAAGTCATACCCATTGATGATACGGGCAGCAATCACGTCCCCTTTCCGCGACCCTTTCCCGTAGACGTACGAGAGGTCAGGAAGTTTACGGAAGACATCGTACCAGGTGAGCGGGGTCTTTAAGATCCTCAAACAATTGTCTGGCCTTCTCACAAATTATAGCTTCACTAATGCTATCACCTGCCATTTCTTTCTCCTTTATCCACACTAAGAGTAAATTTTCCATGTCCTCAATTACATTACACCTTGCTTTGCTAAGTCTAGAGATTCCCTTAGCCACTTGCACAGTTTTCAACTCCTCTTTATTCTTCAAAATCGTACATATAGTCGATTTAGCCATCCCATATTCATCATTAAGTTTCGCAATGCTTGTTCCATTCTCACGTTTCTTTATGATTTCTTTCTTAGTTTCAAGGGTTATGAGCTTTCTCACTCGCTTTGGACGATTCATTGTTACAATTGTACACTTGTATAACAAAATAGTTAAACAAATAACTTGTATTTCCACATCAAAAGACGAAATTTCAACAATAACAGTGGTGCACTGGCTACACAATGAGACAAAGATGGCGCCTGACGCTCTTGTTGTGGGTCGCGGTACAACAATATTCATGCGCCAGACGAAATAGTCCCGTCTTCATCCACGTTAGTTGTAGGAGTTGTGTTCGTAATAGCATTTTCAATTTTATAGGTAAAACCGTTCGTTATAGGAATATTCGTAGCAGAATCCGTTCGTTATAGCATACCCACTGTATTAAACAAAATATGAATGAGTCCAAGTCACTGAGGATTGCATCTGATCATCATAAGTTGCTCAAATCTTTTATCTCTTAAATTGCACCTCTCTGGCCTGAAGAGCTTGCCAACAATGGAGAACATTCTTTCCACAGGAGCCGATGTAGCAGGAATGGCCAGGTACTTTGCTGCAAGCCTGGCGAGGACAGGAAACTCAGGCTGCTTGGCCTTCCAGTAGCCAAGGGGGTCACCATCTTCTTGTAGACATGGCTGGTTGAGGTAGAGTGAGACCTCAGTTTCTGATGGAGTTGGTCTTGGTGTAGAAGACCGATTGACTAGGGCAAAGAACTTGTTCCTCTTCATCGGTGGTGGTTCAGCAGGGGAAGTGTCTGTTGTTGTAGGATCAAAACTGCATGCCATAATGTATTTCACAGTCAGAAGGTCACGAATGTCTTGCACTTCATTGTCATAGTCATGACACCAGTCCAGCTTGTAACGTGGGTCTAAGGTGGCAGCTAGCTGGAAAGCCTCCATAGACTCAAACTTATTCAGACGAGTCTCTGTTGAGGACTGAAGTACAGAAACAAGCTTGCTTTTATACACTTCATGAAGACTAGCTAAAGCAGCCCGTAGACCACGGACACAGTTAACTACCAGACTAGATGTCACCATGTTTTGTCCCCGAATCTGATTAGTCACATACTCAAATGGCTCGAGTATATCACAGAGCTCCTTGATGGTGTTCAGCTCATACTGCTTCAGCTTGTAGGGAGTGTCAAGTTTGTCCCACACTTCAGGTAAAACTCGAAGTACTGACCTCATCATCGTCAACTGACTATTCCAGCGTGTACATGTTGCCATCTGGAGCTTGAATTCATTTGAGAGCACTTCTGCAGCCACTGTTGATTTCCTGCAGAAGTTGATGAGCTTTGATACCTTTGCAAGAATTTGCTTGATCTGGCTATCTTGCTCCATGCCATCTTTCACCACAAGCTGCAAAGTATGAGCGAAGCATGGACTGCGGTTTGGGGGTAAGCATTCAAACTTTGTAGTGTCATCAGGTGGTAGGATATCACAGTCATTATCATCAAACTCATCATCTTCTTCATCTTCATCAAGTTGTTCCACTGGGAATAGGGTGAATGTCTTCACCATATTTGCTGCATTATCAGTAATTATGGTAGTTACTTTACTTCCAACATCATAGGAGGCCACTGTTTCTTGATACATGTCATAGATATTGTCTGAAGTATGGGAGCCTTTAAAGCGACGACATGCCAACATAACGCTATTCATGGTGTGGTCAAGGATGAAGTGACCAGTCACACCTATAAATGACCTCATATCCCTACTGGACCACAGGTAGATGGTGAGACAAAGATTCTGGACTTGTTGTAACTGGGTCTTCAACCTCGTCTGAACAGTGGTTAAATGCTGTGGTAGAAGCACACTAATCAGATGCTTACGACTGGGCATTGTGAACATCGGCTCTGCGGTTGCCATGAGTATGCGGAATCGCTCACTTTCAACAAGAGACAGGGGAAGGAGATCATGGGCAATAAATGCCACGATACAGTTAGTAAGTTCCAGATGTCGTAAGTCGGTGGATTTCCACTTGGTACCGGTACTGTTTCTTGTGAACTTATTCATGGAGAATTGTTTTGGATCAGCTACTGGATCGTCAAGCTTTGCATAGATGTCTGGATGGTTCTTCTGAAAAGAAAAACACAAAATACATATAATTAAGCATGCATTACCCTGAACAAGCTTATCACCAATGTTCTTCAGGTTTAGAATTCATAGAGATTTTCCATAAGAACACATATCACTGACAGAATTCTATAACCATTAACTTTTATATCTCAATTCCATGGCATGTCCATGATATATTCCATGACAATGGTATGTCTTGTGAAATGGCAGGATTCTACACCTGAAGAATTAATTTTGTAGGTATTGCTCTTTTAGATTACATTATTTGTTTATTGTTGGTTATGTGAAATAAGCCATTAACATAGATGTTCCAAGTTATATCTAGTCAACAACATAAAAATTCTGTCCCTCTTTTGAATAAGTTAAACCTTCCTATTTTAACTGTATCTAAAATTCTAAATTAATATTATAATTTATACAATGCTCACCTCTAGATGCCTCCTGAAGTTTGATGTTGCTTTGATAGATCCAGCAACAGCCTGGTTACAGTGACGGCAAACAGCTTTAAGGTTTCCTGGTTTACTCTCACTGGAAGAAGGCATGATGAAATGACCGTACACATTTGATTTGGGTGGCATTTTGCCCACATAAGATATCTGCTTTTAAAACAGAGATATAAGTCACCTGTCACAGCGACATTGACTAACACACTGCTGAGTCTGAGTGCTGACAGTTCAATACTTATATGCCCCAGTCATTTCAATATGGACAGGAGGAGGGCAGAATGGTAAGCTTATACTGCCAATCACAGACCAACAGGACAGGGTAGGCCAGGACGTGTGTTTTACCCACATCATCTCAGTCAGGCCCACTGACAGGAACTGAACTTGTTGTGAATCTTAAATATATCTGAAATATATTTATTAGAAATACATGAAATATGCAGGAAACAGTTACTCAGTTCAATGAAAATTAATACATCACTTGATATAATTTTAACATATTTTTTGTGCTAGCTAACTGTATATTTTAGGTTTTATTTGAATATACAGTGATCCCTCGGTTAACGAAATTTGGGTTAATGAATTACCTTCCATAAGATTCTTAACTTCAGTTAACGAGCATTCCCTCGATTAACGAATTCCTTACGAGCGCCCCCTCAACATGTTTTCGCTTGCACACTAGCTGTCGTATTAGTCCGCCAATACAGTAATTGGTTCTAGGGCTTAAATTCCTTACTATTTTAGTAAATATCAAGAAGTTTGTACTATTCAATAATTTTAAAAGTCTTATATTAAAATTTATTGTTCTTTTAACAATTATTTAACATAATTTAAGTACAAGGAAACTAGTTTTTAGCGTGCCAAACAGCCTGTCAACACACCATACAGGCGTCAGTCTCTGTGTCTTTTCAGTGGAGGTAACATCTTGCTTCAGACTCATCAACATAAATGCCTTTTTTCTGTGTTTTCAGTCAAATTATTGGTCATTCTGAAGTTTATTTTACATATTGACAATATATAATGCAGTGCAGTGTTGATTTATAGGAAAATAATCTTGAATTACACCAAGAGAACTAAAATTTTATGGGTGAAATGGCGGCATGGGGTGACTTCTCTTCCACCCCAATGCCTTCTCTTCTCCCTTCTCCTCCACCCCCACTTCCTTCTCTTCTCCCTTCTCCTCCTCCACCCCCCACTTCAAATTCCCATCATCATCATCATCCAGAAGCCTTCTACATGCACACCTCAAAGTAAGTGAACTTTTCTACCTTTTTTGTTGATTTTAGGCAATTTTCGGTGAGCTGGAACCAATTACCCAAAAACCCATTGAAACAATGGTTTCGGTTAACAAATTTTTTGGTAACGAGCAACCTTCTGGAACGAATTGTGCTTGTTAACCAAGGGACCACTAAGTTAATTATTGCAAAATAATGAAGATGCATATAACAGTATACAGTAATATATTATTTTATCAATTCACATCAATTCATTACATCAATTCATATCAATTCACATCAATTCATTGATATCAATTCCAGTTCAATTCAATTAATTTTGTATTTTTTCAATTCCAATTCAATTCCAATTCACAAATTTTTTAATCAATTCCAATTAAATTCATAACTGACCCCATGTCTGCCTGAGTATAACATCATTAATCAACTGTTATATTATTTCTTTGACAAATAAGATGGTTATTTTACACGCTCAGATAGGACTGGACCCTTATATAACACTCCTCGGTTTATATAAAATAAATTCAATATTCATTAACATAAGGAGTGACCAAGATGTTAAATAAGTACACTCAAGATTAAACTGTGCGGGTCCACACCCTGGGAACTAGGCCCAAACTCCCTCGCCGTGTGTCTGACTGCAACCGGTCTTAACAGCGTTCTTCGTTTGTTGTTACATGCTGGGGCACTCCTTACAGTTATATGGGCTAAAGTATTATTGTTGTTGTATATGATTGGTGATAATTAGCACACATATAGTTATCCCACATTGAGTAGTGAACCCATAAATATTGATAGCACCAGTAATTATGTTATATGAGTTGAGTACATGAACTGAAGGAAAAGTACCATGTTTTCCATTCCAAAAGAACATGATGTTATAAGTTAATTTGGGATATTGTCAAGTGTGTCATAGAACCATCTGTATTGACAATGAAATAATATAATGATTGTTAAATGTTGTAACCAAGAATTGAAGATTTAATTTGTTACTTGTAAAGTAAGACTTAAGTGGTCCAGTCTTGTCTGAGTGAACTTAATTAACATCTGATTCACTCCTTGTGTTAATAAATATGAAATTAGTAAACTTGAGTATCACCGCTCTATTCCTTCTACCCATTGGTTCTCAGAAAATAACTATTGTAACTCACGTGCCTAGAAGCTCACTAGCAGGCTACCTAACAGTTCCATGAGATATGTTTTATTCTAATAAAAGTCTAGGTGGTGGCAGGCTACCGTTGTAAGTATAATAAGTGTGGTAATAACAATGATGTTTCCCCAGACTAATCCATGGTTTAGAATATAATTAAAACAGTATACTGTACTTCAGAAAGGTAAGGACATAGAAATTCAGAAAATACAATAATATATATGAAAATAAATGAAGTAAAGAAAAGAATATCGACTTGGAAAATATAAGCAAAGAAATATAAGACAGATACTTATACAGTATAAGAATCCCTGTACTGTATAAGCAAGAATAGTATGATTATTGAAGAATAATATATGAAAGAAGAATAAAAGGAATGTACAGTGGTCCCTCGGTTCACGATCTCCTCGGTTAACGAATTACCTTCCATAAGAATCTTCATTTCGGTTAACGAAATTCATACGAAAATATTTCGACATGCTTGGCTTGCTCACCAGCTGGAAAATTAGTCCACCAATACAGAAATTGGTTCTAGGGCTTACATTCATTAAAATTGGAGTAAATATCAAGAAGGTTGTACTATTCAATAATTTTCCAAGTTTTATATTAAAATTTTTAGTCACTTTAACGTTTATTTAACATAATTGCAGTACAGGGAACCAGCTTTTGGTGTGCCCATCAGCCACTTCACTCACCCACCAAGGCCTCAGTTTGTATCTCTGTTCAGTGGAGGAAACATCTTGCTTGTGGGTCTCTTGAACACAGAATATTTTTACGTTTTTACAGTACAATTATTGGTCATTCTGAAATTTATTTAACATATTGACAATATACAGTATAGTGCAGTGTAGTGTTGATTTAAAGAAAATAATCTTGAATTACACCCAGTGAATTTAAAATTTTATGGGTGAAATGACGGCATCAAGCATGGGGTGATTTCTCTTCCACCCCAACTTCCTTCTCTTCTCCCTTCTCCTCCATCCCCACTTCTAATTCCCATCATCATCATCATCAACCAGGAGCCTTCTACATACACACCTCAAAGTAAGAGTACTTTACTGCATTTTTTTTTTTTTACTTTGTATTTAATTTTTGGTGAGCTGGAACCAATTACCCAAAATCCCATTGAAACAATGGTTTCGGTTAACGAACGACCTTCTGGAACGAATTGTGTTCGTTAACCGAGGGACCACTGTACAGTATATATCAGGTGCCTAAAAGAGAGCTCGGGTTCTCAACTGGCTCAGCCATGTTAATATTGTTATTATTATCCACTCTGTATCTGTGTTTTTCTGGCTAAATAAACTGTTTCAATTCAATTCAACATTAAACAATCATTATATTATTTCAATGTCAATACAGATGGTTATATGACACACTTGACAATATCCCAAATTAAGATATTATTTAGCACATCATGCTATTTCGGAATGAACAACATGACACTTTAACTAGAACTCAGTTGGTAGTACATATGAATATTACTCGGCACCGTAGCCTAGGACGGCCAAGGTGCCAACCCGAACAAAGGCCTAGCGTCGTTTTCTCTTGTCGTGGGTATACAAGATATTTTCTTTGAAGTATAGTTTCTGGATCACTTCCAACTCGTCACATATGCCTGATACATTATCCTTTTTCCAGATCATTGTTCTCATATATTTTCATCTGATATCTGCGATAGCTATGTTCACTAATCGTTTACAGACGTAAATAGTATGACCTTCAGACATGATCTACAATTATCCCATATAGTACACTAGTCCGTATCAATTGGACCTTCCCGATCATCGTATAGACACTGCGTTCTTTATAACTATAACAGAATTCCCGAAGGTTAGGTTAAGTTAAATCAGGTTAGGTTAGGTTAAGTTAAGTTAGGTTAGGTTAGGTTAGAGAAGTGTTCATAAACTAAAAAAATTAAATAATTATTTTAAAAATTCTCACTATTTCTCCTAGGGGGCTTTTGTCCTATACTCGGTTTTTACACATATTTCAAATACCCAAAGAAAGAAAGGTGCACTACTATAAATTAACCATGCCCAGTTCTTGCTTATAGTCCACAATAGAAATGTAACAACCACCCAAGAGGTTAAGGAGTCGATCAGTGGCGAAGAGGATAAAGTGCAGTAAGCTAAGGACCCTCCTGGATATATGCATCTGTAGAGCTCTGTCGGTTATCCTTGGTCAAGTTGTCTTACTGTTTAACACTGTCTCGGCACACAGGTAATTCTATGCTTCACGGCCACAGTACACGGTGCACTGTATACCTACTTTCTTTGTCTAAACTCATGCTGAACTGTATGTATACTGTAGTACAGCATAACCTATAGACATGGTTATCTTATTTTTAACGTGGATGAAAATTTTACTGAATAATAATAATAATAATTTTTATTATTAAAAATTAATCTGGATTGCGCGACGCTTATTAAGATTATGACTGTGTGATGAGGTCCTGTCGTGTCCTGAGTCTAGGTTTTGAATAACAATTGATGTTCATTAAAATAAAATAACTTTGATATACTGTACTCAAAACGAACTAAAGAATAAGCAGAAACCTTAAGTTAGTCGTAATTTAAGATTGTTTGGCTTATATCTGGGTTATGGGCCCCATAACCCAGATATTGTTTACAGCTCAACGTCGATAATTAGTTAATATAAAACCAAGTTAAGTACTTATTATATTCCTAGTATTTATCTCTTTATATATGCAAACTTTTAATCACACATAATTTAATTGATGAATATACGTGAGTCACCAGTAACATGTGGGTGGGGCTCCATGTTCTCTGACGTCACCCTCAAGTGTCACACACAGGGCCGTCTGCTGAGGTCTTACTCCCTACTACAGGTACAGTACTACACATTGTTTTCTTAGATAATAGGCATTTATTATAAGACTACTATTACAAGGTTTCAGTTATTTTTAGTAATGTGGGATTTTGTTTATGTGTTGAAAGAAGAATAAAATCGATGGATTGGTGATGATTGCATGCAACAGACGAACTTTTTAAGCAGTGAAATTTAATGTTATTATTGTATGTGATGTTATGTTCTCTTTATAGAACTTTATAATATTGTCTTTCAAGCTATGATACGAGAAAACAAAGTTAGAACACCCTGACAAACTTGGAATTGTACTCGTGTATGTCAATAGTTCATAATAGTGAAGCAGAATACATTCCAAATTATCTCGTGTGCTTATATTTGGAACCTTATGCAGTTCTGTAGTTGGAAAAAGGTGTATTTTAGAGCCTCTGCAATCATAATGGTTTATTGATGAAAGTGTTATTTACAGCAGGTTCATACCCCAAGGAATGTTTTTTTTTGTAGTGACTAGTTTTACCTTGACCTGCTAAGTTCCTACTAACGCTGTTATGCCGTGAGTGTGCTCTTATTGGCTAAGTACTTTCTGTTTAATAATATGATGGGGATCCCTCACCCCCCCCCCCTCCCGGCTAGGAAGTTAGGTAAGGTTAGGAAAGGTAGGATTCTTTGATTGGTTAGGTCAGGTTATATTAGGTTCTAGTAAATTTTGCCTTTTTTTATAATGACAGTTTTCCATGCACAACAGAAATATGGAAAAGTATGTTTACAGCTACACAGTGATCAACACACGGCAAAATAATTGCCAAATGCCACGAGAGTCACGGTCAAATATAGGTCTAATGTTGTTCGCCGGTAATGGACATTTAGTCACTCGGTGTGCACTCATGGTAAAATAGCGTTAGTAGGAACTTAGCCGGTCACGGCCAAATATCCTTTGCCTTTTTTTTATAGGTAATTTCACAAACATTTATATTGATACTTTTTGGCTAATGACTACTAACCCGCTGACTCGTTATTTGTTTTGATGTTTATTTTCTTACTACATTTTCATCAGTGAGTTCTGATATGATAATCATTTCTTTGGAAAATGTTTCTTTTGATAGATAATTAGGTGCCTAGGCTCACATATTGTGGCACCACAGTACTTCATCTTGCACAGTGATAAATCGGTAAGGCGGGACCTGATCAATGTCTATGGCTACGCTCAGGTGGCTCGGTGTATGTTTATGAGCTGCTCGGGCTGGGTGGCTGCTCTCACATCCACTAAAAAACACGTAAAATTCCTTCTGTTTAATATGCGGGGGTGGGGGGGGGGTTGAGGGTGGAGCCTCATGGCTAGAAAGTTAGGTTAGGTTAGGTAGGTTTCTTTGGTTAGGTTGGTGAGGTCTTATGGCAACTCTTCTGCCTCTTGTGTTCTTATCAACTAAGTTTTGGTTATGTTTAATTTAGAAATACCCACTTTTTAACACATTTGCCAAAACTACGACATTGTCCACAAAAAATATAGTTTGTTTCTGATCATTACCATAACATTGTATCTTTAGTGGGTCTGAATGAAAGCAGTTGTACAAACACAAGCATGTATCTAGGACATTAACCGGCGCATGACTGTATAATGCAATATTAACCCCTAAATCGGTTAATTCGGACAATCGGCTAAAACGGACACCCTTCCCCCCCCTATTAGTTCGTTTTAACGAGGGTCTACTGTACTGTATATTCTGTACATCAAATGCCCTTTTAACATGCAAGATTTAGCATTTTTCCTCTAAAGTTAAGAATTGTTTTTTCTTGTTATTGCCATCATAATACAGTACTGTACTGTTTTTATGTTTTTCAGAGTGTTTACGAGTGAACCATGTCTAACTACCAGGACGACAACAGCATACCTCTAGTGGATGATGACCCATCAGGTTGGTTGGCTCACAAATATGTACCGGTATATAGTGACTGTTTTCTTTTTAGCTGGTGCCTAACAAATGTACAGTACTGTACGTATATAGTAACCCCAAGTGTCTCAAAAATATAGTAACCCCAAGTGTTTCATTTATCACAGATGTTGAAAAATTATCCTAGGTGACCCACAGGTAGTCTTATTCCTCGTAACTTTTAAAATGTCGATGGAATAATGTAATTACTAACTTTGTTATGTGTTTAAAGACCTTAGCTGTTGAAGCACAGTACAGTAATATTATAACAACAACACAGGTAATCATTGTGACACCAAGTGAATCACAATACTGTAGTTTATAATGATGCCAAGTAATTTACAGACGCTCCTAATAACATCAGGTGTTATACATTCATAAAATGATGCCAGGTGTCTCACAAATGTTTATAATGATGCCAGGGATCTCATAGGAGCTGAAAATAATTCCAGGTGACCTACAGGTCATAATGATGACCCCAAGAGGCTCATACAGTAAGTGCTCATAATGATTCCAAACCAAGTGACTTAGATATTCCTAAAGGTCCAGGTATCTTGTAAGTGCCCTTAACTTTCTTGTGGTTTTTCGACTCAAATTACGTCACTAAGCACTCCTGTGCTGGCGCAACCCCTCCCACTCAGCTTTATCTCACAGTGAGAGCACCCCTCCTGTAAGCAGAAATGTGGGAACAGTAGACCGGCCCTATCAGCCACCTAATTTCCATCCACTAGCATCATGGGCTGGCAGATGCATATTTAAGGGTGCAATTTAGGTCTTGATCGCTCTACACCAATGTTCATTAAATGGAAAAACCGTTGTTTTAGACACACCCTGTATCGAAAGAGTGCAAGTGGGTGAGATTTTCACCTCTGGCCAGGAGTACTAAAGGGTTAATAATGCTAGGTGGCTCACAGGTGTGCATAATGTGATGCCAAGTTGCTCACAGATACTTAAAAATGACCCAAAATGAATCACATATGGTATGATTACTGATTTATATTTGCTTCTGCCCATTAGCACTCATATTCCAGTCAACTAATATACAAATTCACCATTTTTATTTTTTTATTTTTTGTGGGGGTGCGGAGGGGGAATTCGGTGTATCTTATGTTTTAAATTGTATGCCAGGTCCAAACACAACAGTTTGAACTGCAGATTGAATGGCAATACAGTACAGTAGTAAAAAAAGTTAAAATGTGTATGAATATTATTTACTTGCTGCAGTCTACAAACTTGCCTTTTTAATGGTACTAGATTTAGGGATGGCTGGCGCACCCCTGGGATTGTTAAAAAGAGAATGACTGAGGAGAAATTTCATATAGGTTTTATGTGTAGGCACACTATATGAAAATACAGATCATGTTTGATTTTGGAGGTACTTTGCAGGTTATTTCAGGAATTTTGCCACTTTTTCAAAATATTGCAACGACTGGTGACATAGTGTATATGTACAGGAGTATTATTAATACATATTATTTTTTAAGTACTGTTCACTCATACCTTGCTTAACACTACTCCTTGGAATGCTGATTCACTATATTGCTCATTGTCATGGAGAAAATTTTTACTAAAAAAAACACGAATTAAGAAAATCCATAAAGGGCTTCAAGTGTGAACATCAGCACTTGCTGAAGAAATGCAACACTGCCAATGAGAGTATTGTAAACTCAGAGCCAGTCAGTGCTCTCCTTCTCCAGTTTTGAACACTACCTGCAATATATTTATATACTGCACCTTAGTCTCCCTGCCCTGTTTTTGTGTGTTTTTTGTTAGTACAGGAGTGCTTCAGTTTACAAAAGGGATATAGAAAAAGAAAATGTCACCCAAACATAAAAATTCACATTTTTAAGCAATTTTTTGTGGGAAGCATTACTTATAAGCTTATGTATTAATCATAATAACATTAATAAAGCAGTACTGTATGGTACAGTGAATTGTGATAGGGTGTAAAACATTACTGTCTGAGGATCTTCCTGTACTCATCATTATTATCACATTCAGTCTCGTGTTGTTGGGGCCTGTAAAACACTCACATCAGTTGGTGGCACACCCATGGTCACAATAAAAATTATCGGGTGTATCACCTTCATTATCAGATTCCTCTTCCTGTTGTGTGGGGCCTGAGTTATGGTCATTGCCATGTTCTTATTGGTATGTGTGTGACAGAGGCATAGATTCATAAATTTCTTCCACATCAACATACTGTAATTGAAGTACTTATATATTTATGCCTCTTATTTGGTAGTCGGTTAGCTTCATAGGACATTTTATCTTTACATCCAGTAGAACCCCAGTTATCTGGTATCAGGGAAACTGGTAGATTCAACTAAGTGGCACCAAAATGAAATAATAGAAATACCTCAAAATTTAGCTAGAATCGTAAGTTTGAATACTGTGTGCAACAGGATGAGCTGCTATATTTATTGCTATGATAAACAATAAAATTAATTCTTAGCATATCATAAAATACAATACTGTAACACATATTTTATGTAAAAAGAGTAGCTCTTTCCACACTCGAACCTTTCCTGCCACAACTTAACAGCTTAGCCCCCTCGATCACATTCACTGTGGAATTAGAGCAAGACTGTAAATTGCCATTCCTAGATTGTCTGATACACAGAATAGGTAACACTTTTAAGTTCAGTATTTATAGAAAACCAACTAATGTGTGTTCATACATTCATCATTATTCTGCCCACCATAATAGAGTCAAACAGTCAGTATTTTCAACAATGTTTTTACGTGCTTTGAGAATTTGCAGTCCGGAATTCATTGATGAGGAATATAAATATATCTATAATATTGGCTCAAACCTTAAATACCCTAGATCTTTCATAGACAAATGCCTAAACATTACTAAGAAAACTTTTTATAGAACTGATCCCAAGCCCACCCATGACCATAAGAATATCTTAATATTACCATTTCACAAAAATTTCTCACACATTCCTTTACAACTAAAAACCTGGAACGTCAATGTGGCATTTAAAAACTCATGCACTGTTAAACAAATGTTAATCAAGAACTCCCCCAACAACACAATTGGTTGCATTTATAAAGTTCCTTGCAAGGAATGTAATATGTTTTACTTAGGCCAGACAGGTAAAGATCTTGTAACTAGACTTAAACAACATAAATATAGTGTTAGGACAGGCCAGGAATCCAATGCTCTGTTTGTTCATTTGAGGGACAACAAGCATTGCATTGACTGGGATAATGCCTCCTCAATATTACCTTGTAATTCAATTGATAGTAGGAACATCATAGAATCTAGTCTCATTAAAGATACCGAAGCATTCAACATGAATTTGAGTAATGGCATGTACAAACTGGACAATTTTGTAATTAAGAAGATTTGTAACCAGGTGAGAAGGTTGGGTCACCTTACCCTCTGACCTGACTACTGACCGTTGCCGTGCTATTTAAAGATTAGTAGGGTCATTACCTAATACCTGACCATTGTGGACCTGGTCTCACCCTCCTCTGTATATATACACCTTGTTTTGTACTCCTCTTTAGTCTGTACTCACCCCTGAAGATGTGAATTACACGAAAGCGCTTGGGAACTTCGTGTTTTCTTCTTTCCTTGTGGTTATCAGCACACACACACACACACACACACACACACACACACACACACACACACAGTATTAACCAGCTTTACACGGTTTCACTTTCCGCGATTTCTGATTTCTCATTTACGCTGTACCTTGCCAGAACCGGACTTTCACTTTCCGCGGTGCATCTACTCATATACATGGTGAAGTATAATTTTTTTTTTATTTTTTTTTTTATTTAGCTCATAAAATTCATACAAATTACCCTGCCAGAATATAATTTACATTACTGGAATTCTTACAATATGATGATCATTTTGAATATAAACATCATGGATTTTGCATTAGACATACAAATTTTAGATCAAATGTAATAATTTGGTTTACACAAAGCAAATATTTTATTGTTTGTGCAAAATATATGAAGTTTACATTCAAAATATTCCCTGACCTGCAAGGAATCTAGAAATGTCAATTATATTATCCTAACTTTAGTCTGGGTTATTATTTATTACTAAAAATGTAAATTTACTATTTTCTCCCAATAGCTTTTCTGGTAGGGAGGGAAGGTGGGGGGTAGGGAGGGAGGGCTAAGGTGGGGTATTTTGATTGGCAGATAGTGTCCTTGAAGAAAATTTCTTTGTTTATTTACTGAAGATATTTGTTTTAGCTCATAAAATTCATACAAATTACCCGGCCAGAATATAATTTACATTGCTGGAAATCTTACAATATGATGATCATTTTGAATATAAACATCATGCATTTTGCTTTAGACATACAAATTTTAGATCTAATGTAATAATTTGGTTTACACAAAGCAAATATTTTATCTTTTGTGCAAAATATATGAAGTTTACATTCAAAATATTCCCTGACCTGCAAGGAATCCAGAAATGTCAATTATATTATCCTAACTTTAGTCTGAGGTATTATTTATTACTAAACGTTAAAATCTAGTGGTTTTCACCCAAACATTTCTCAGAGAGGTAGGAGCTAGTGAGCTGGGAAGAGGGGGTGGGGGGATTTGAGTCCATTATTTGAATGGACATTAACCTGGCGACTGTATTTCTCTTAAATATTAATTGTGTGAGCATACCATCATAAAATTTAGATGTTATTTTTACTACAACATAGGTATTGTGTCGGAAAAAGTGGAGTTTGGGGGTCGGGCCAGTCTCTATTGGAATTAATCCCATATGTTCTGTTGTTCACGCTTTCACTTTCCGCGGTACCCTGTGGGTTCAATTGACCGCGTAAATCGGGGTACTACTGTGTATATATATATATATATATATATATATATATATATATATATATATATATATATATATATATATATATATATATATATATATATATATATATATATATATATATATATATATATATATAATTACCTAATTATGTATCTCCTCAGTGGTTCTGGATGATGATAGGACTGGAGCTTCTGAAATATCTGACTCTACTCGAGGCCAGAGTTTGGAGTCTATTCCATCAGCTTACACAAATGGCTCCAACAGTCCTCTGCATAATAGTAAGTTTTTTTTATTTCTTTGTTAAACCAGATCACAATTTTGGATCTCAAATATTTTCTTATCACTGATTTTTATGTATCTCCTCATATTTTTTGTTATGTGATGACAACTGAAACACCATTCTATCAAATAGTCACAGTTAACCTACTTAACCCATAGATCATCAATTGCTGGTCAATTAATTTAACCTATGTCATTCATGGACAAATATTTTCCACATTTTCTTTGTTGGCTTAAACAACCCCAAAGAACCTCCAAAGTCATGTGGTAATAGTAAAAATCTCACCTTTGTTTTAATTTGTTTTAGGTTTAGAGCCAGACATGTCACCTGATGAACAAGAGGAAAAGGCTCGCCTCATTGCACAGGTGCTGGAGCTGCAAAACACACTAGATGGTGAGTATCCATAATGGAGTTACTTATTAATCTTTTTATTTTTATTTTTAAGGTTAAGTAGATTCTTTCATGATTACAACTAATTTTTAATTTTCCAGGATTTAATTGGATTCAATTTGCCACACATGTTCCCCATAAGTTGTGGCAGTTTACCTTTAACAATTTAATTTACTCTGCACAGTGAAACCTTGACAACACAGACTAATTGGGGGAAAGGGGATCTGAGCAATAGGAGTCTTAAAAGAATCCAAACATTGTCCTGATAGGTAGTAAATACAGTCATGCGCCGGTTAACGTCCTAGATACGTTCTTGGAAACGTGACGTCAACCGAAGTGGACGTTGTCCGATCATCACATAAACTTTGTATTTATACTTACGTGTATGTGGAATACTATATACGTACATATACAGTACACTCTTACGCTTAAATTACTACTGTAATGTGATACTGGTGATTAATTTTTATCTCGTGTGCAAAATACATGACGTTTATATTAAAATTATTCACTGTCTTACAAGGATTCCAGCAATGCTGGGCAGATAGGGGAGCGGTAGTTGAGGTGGTACGTTGGACAGTTGGCACCGGCCCAAGGTCTAATGTATGTTTATTTATCAATTCTTAAGTGACTAAGCTTCTCTCTTATAAAAAGCCAGTGAAATGACCTGGGTGAATATAATTTACATTGCTGGGATTGGACGTTGTTTGGTTGGACGTTGTTTGGTTGGACGTTAACCGGCGCATGACTGTACAGTACAACTGTACCGGTATTCCTCATTTAATAATGGAGTTGCGCTTTTGGCTTTACTTTGTACAGTGGGGTATGCTATAACGAACGGATCCTACTACGAATATTCCTATAATGAACGGTTTTACCTATAAAATTGAGAATGCTATAACGAACGCAACTCCTACAATGAACGCGGATGAATGCGGGACTATTCGTCTGGCGCATGAATATTGTTGCACCGCGACCCACAACAAGAGCGTCAGGTGCCATCTTTATCTCATTGTGTAGCCAGTGCACCACTGTTATTGTTGAAATTTCGTCATTTGACGTGGAAATACGAGTTATTTGTATAAATATTTTGTTATACAAGTGTACAATTGTAACGATGAATCGTTCAAAGCGAGTGAGAAAGCTCATAACTCTTGAAACTAAGAAAGAAATCATAAAGAAACGTGAGAATGGAACAAGCATTGTGAAAGTTTGTGATGAATATAGGATGGCTAAATCGACTATATGTACGATTTTGAAGAATAAAGAGGAGTTGAAAACTGTGCAAGTGGCTAAGGGAATCTCTAGACTTAGCAAAGCAAGGTGTAATGTGATTGAGGAGACGAAAAATTCACTCTTAATGTGGATAAAGGAGAAAGAAATGGCAGGTGATAGCATTAGTGAAGCTATGATTTGTGAGAAGGCCAGACAATTGTTTGAGGATCTTAAAAGCCAAGACTCCCAGTGGAAGTGATAGTGATGTGCCAGTGTTTAGGGGTACCTAGGGGAGGTTTACTGGTTTCAGAAGGAGAAATAAATTACATAGTGTTGTGAGACATGGTGATGCTGCTGGTGCAGATAAGGAAGCAGCTAAGGAACACCATGACATTTTTTTGAATGTGATTAAAGAGGGAGGCTTTGTTTCTCAGCAGGTATTCAACTGTAATGACACTGGACTTTTTTGGAAACAATGCCTCGCCGTACATACATTACCAAGGAGGAAACTTCTGTCCCTGGCCATAAGCCAATGAAAGACAGGCTTACCCTCCTTCTTTGTGCTAATGCTTCTGGTAACTGCAAAATAAAACCACTCCTTGTGTACCATGCAGAAAACCCCAGAGCTTTCAAAAACATTAGGAAGAGCCGCCTTGGTGTTATGTGGCGGTCAAACCCAAAGGCTTGGGTGACCAGGAGTCTTTTCTCTGAGTGGGTGATTGAGGTGTTTGTACCCAGTGTTCAGGAATACCTCAGGGAGAATAATCTTCCACTGAAAGCTTTGTTGGGGATGGACAATGCACCAGCCCACCCTCCTAATTTGATGGTTGAATTGCCAGAGGAGTTCAACTTCATCACTGTGCACTTCTTGCCACCCAACACAACACCTCTCATCCAGCCCATGGATCAACAGGTAATTTCTAACTTTAAGAAGCTGTACACAAAGGCACTGTTTAGAAAATGTTTTGCATCCACTTCTTCCAGTGATGTTAGTTTGAAGGAATTTTGGAAGAGTCACTTCAATATAGCAGATGCTCTGTTTTTAATTGCGTCAGCCTGGAAAGAGGTTACTATGAGGTGTCTTTGTGCTGCTTGGAGGCCATTGTGGCCTGAATGTGTGCTTCAAAGAGACTTTGAAGGCTTCGAAGAGTTAGAGGAAGAGGCTGTTGTACATGAAATTGTGTCTCTGGGCAATTCCATGGGCCTGGAAGTTGATGATGATGATGTTGAGGAGTTGGTGGAAGAGTACAGTAAGGAGCTGTCCACTGAGGAGCTGCTTGAGCTTCACAAAGAAGAAAATGAGACACTGAAGCGGAGCTTAACTTCTGAGGAGTCAGGGGAGGATGAAGATAAGGAGGAAAGCCGCATCATTCCAGCCAAAGATCTCAAGGATGTGTTCTTTCGCTGGAGCAAACTGTCTAAGCTTGCTGAGGATTATCATCCTGATGTTGGTTCTGTGGAAAAGGGCATCAGTGTGTTTAATGACAATGTGATGAACTACTTTTGGAAGGTCCAGAAATCAAAGTTGAAGCAGCCAACCCTGGATTCCTTCTTTAAATAAGTAGCAAAAGACCCTACAGACAAAGTGCCTGTAAGACAATCACCAAAGAGGGCTAGGAAGGATGACTCCTCTCCTTCCACCTCTTCTCCATAATTCTCTCCTCCCCCCTCCCCCTCTGCTTCCTGTCCTGCATGCTGAACAACACTAGGGTAAGATAAAGTACCGTATTTTTTACATTTTCCACAGAAAATTTTCAGTGTTAAGTGGTTGTATTTGGGGGCCTGGGACGAATTAATCCTATAACGAACGAGGTTCTAGAACCAATTTGATTTGTTATAGCATACCCCACTGTATATACTTTTCTGTGAACTGAAACCAATTACCCAATATCCCATTGAAACAATGGTTTCGGTTAACGAATGACCTTCTGGAACAAATTGAGTTTCTTAACCGAGGGACCACTGTACACTAGAAATCTTAAATTACTATTGTAATGTGATACAGGTGATTAAGTCTGTTCCAATTAGTCCAATTTATCGAGGTTCCAATGTACTAATTTTTTCTTGTTCTGTATAATAGGCTATAATTTATAATTGAACTAAATAGAATGCTCAATTTCTAATAAGTTTATAATAAATGAAATTCTACAGATCTCTCTCAACGAGTGGATAGTGTTAAAGAAGAAAATCTTAAGCTGCGTTCAGAGAACCAGGTTCTTGGTCAGTATATTGAGAATCTTATGTCTGCTTCATCAGTGTTTCAGTCTACATCACCTAAAACTAAGAAAAAGTGAGTAATGACTATTAATTTTAATTTCTTGGATTACATTAACATAATTTTATTCACACATTGGGGAGGAATTTGTTAAATGTGTATGTCATAAGTAAATATAAAGACATAGGTATCAGCAGGTAAACTGCTTGTGTAGTTTTCAAAAGTACTTAACTGGCATTAAACTGTGAGTTATGGTTTTATCTGGTAAGTCTACAATTTTCCTTTAAATTCTGGTTCCCTTTTTTTTTGACATCACTTCACAAGTTTTGATTACTTCTTCACTGCCATTGTCAAATCTAAATTTTTGGGTAATTTTGTTGTTGGGTAGTTGATTTTTATGAAAAAGATAGAGCAGATGGTTTTTGTATTAGGTACAATAACAAAGCATTTTATGGATTGGCAAATCATTTGTAACCAATGTCTGATGTGTTTCCTTACAGTACAGTACCCTGTATAGATATTATACTCCTTAACCTGTTTTGGCTTGAGGTACATTGTAGTCACCCCTTCTTTATTATCTACGTGTTATTGATAGTTTACAGACTATAACTTGAGTTTTCTTGCACTAATAGAAATAATATTACATTGTTACTACTGTATATTCCTTGGAGGAGGAAGTTTTCTACCGATTTTAGGGTAACTTGGTCAATGGTACACAGCAGCAAATATCACGGATATCATTGATAATATTTCCTCATTTTCTGTTTATTTCCCATATTTCTGCTTATCTCTTACTTTTCCTGGTATCTTCTACTTTCAGGTTTGTTTATTATATTAACACTCAGTCATTTTGCAGATCTTATTTTTTCTTGTGCAAGCATTTGGTGGCTGATTCTCTCATGATTTTCAGAAAATCTTAGAGGGTTTATTAAAAGTTATTTTAAGAATTCTTGAGGGTGTTTTGATGCTCAACTCTTAGGCCCCCGGTGACGTTCCAGAACGTCCGCCTATTCCCGCCACTTTTTTTATTTATTGTTTTTATTAATTATTTTTGAAAAAGTTGATTTTTCTCGATTTATCTGTTCGGGGGGAGGGGGGCCTACTGCCAGCAGCACCCTAACCCGGGGCTTAAGGGTTAAAGTTGTGGAGGTCGTTTACCATTCTCTGAGTGCAGATACTGGCAGTTACCGTTCATAAAAGTTATATTTATTTTTTTTAGGATTAAACTGAGTCAGGTTAATGCTTAAAAGAAGAAAGCAAGAGTAATGGAGAGGGATATAAGTTTGGCAAATAATGTAATGATAAAAGATGCAAATAAAAGGTGAGTCAGTTGCTATTTTGTAGATAAAATTTTTCAAGAGGATGATTTTGAAGAAAAGTTATAAATGTTATTCAATGACTGTTGAACAGTGTTTGTAAGGAGGATGTCTGTTGTAATTGTGCACAAAAGAAAAGTGATGAAAATAGGTACAAAAGATGAAGAAATAAATGTTAACTTGAATGGAAAGAAAAGAATATGTGCATTGAGAAATATATGGAGAGCGATCTGTACCAAAAAAAGGAAATTGTTGAGCTGACATTATTATATGGATGTGGAGCATGACTGAAGATGCTAGAGGAAAGAGCACTTTATAACTGGCAGAAATGATGTATTTGAAAACAACATGCAGGGTAAGTAGGCTGCAAAGAAAAGGAGAATATAGAAATGAGGGGAAAGAAGAGAAAAATTTTGGAGAGGGAGTGGATGATCAGGATTTGTTCAGGCAGCATGGACAGGGTAAAAGAATGGGAAGTGAAGGTTTGGTGAAAAGAGTATATACAATACAATGTATAATGAAAATGTGGATAGGAGGAGGGAGAGGGGATTATCAAGTAGATGGAAGGTTGGAGTAGAGGATGCACTAGAAGCAAGAGGAATTAACATGTAGGAAGTAGTGATGTGCATGAATGAGTGGAGAGCATGGTCTCAAGTGATTCTGGGAAAGGACAATAAGCTGCTAATAGATGATTCTGGGCGTTTGTGAAATGACAAGGGTAATCCAGATCGATATTCAGTGTTAATGTGGAATGGGAGGACTGTTCCAGAACACATCTAATGCATAAGTAAGAATGAATGAATGGCAACAAATGACTGGGAAGTTTTTGTGTGTTTTTACCCCTGATTCTGGTCACCCTGCATTTTGTGGGAAAGATAGGCTATCATAGGGCATACAAGTTCAAGCTTATTTTATATTCTATTGATTACAACCTTATTAATACACACAAAAAATACATAATACACACTGGACAAAGATTCATACTTAGCATATTCCCATAACAGGTTTTACAGATGTAAGAATAGACACACAGTACAGTACTGTATAATAAGATTATGTAAATGTTTCCACAATTAATATTCAACAGTGCTCTAATGTTCCACAAGATTTCTTAATTGTTATGTAAAAAGGGGGTACAGAGGCTATAGCATTTCATTGCATCTCACAAAATCTGTTTTAAAATTATTTGTGTTTAAGCTCTGAAAATTATTTTTAATTATCTATGTACAGTAACGTTGTCTTTTTATAGGGTATTCATATAGTTCTAAAATGGATTAGCTTGTTGTCATGTGGATCCTAGCTTTGCTCTAAAGTCAGGTGATTCTCATAATTTTACTCATCATTCTGTCTGTTCTTAGATAAATAAATTTCTCAGTCTTCCTGTCACATTCATTACGTCCAAATGGAGATCATGTGCAAAGGTTGCCACAAGAGGCAGGAGATCCTCTAGAGGCAATTCTATCCAACTAACACTGATTCTGGAGCTTTTTGTAGCACCTCCTCCATCTTGTGTTACTGGCATATGATTGAGAAGATGATGAGCAGGTGGTATAAACCAGAAAAGGAGGATTAATTCTGAAATGGGTGCTTCCTATTGGTAGGCAGAGCAGACATTCTCCTTCTTCCCGGAGTGTTGAAGTTTATTAGGTTAGGAACTGAATAAGAAAGGGCAGAGCCATAGCTTTTGGCACAAATTAGGTTTATAAATCATATACCGTATGGCTACTACTGTACCATATATGGCTTCTTGTCTATAAAGGTCATCTATTGTATTGTACCTCATAATACCATTTTGGCCTAGTAGGTGTGAGGGAGAAGCTGTCTTGCAGAGGGCATAAGCCATAAAACAGGATTTTAGAATCAATCCTCCATTTGCTTGGATTGACCAAAAATCTTTGGAAGGATTGTGTAGCTTCAATGCAGTGAGTGCTAGTTAGAAAGACTCGGCTCCAGAGGGCCTCCAGTCTCTCAGGGCAACCTTTACACTTAACCACCACCATTTGGAAGTGATAAGTGATGCAGAGGGCTGGGTAGTGGATAAGAAAAAGTTAAGGGGTTAGCCTCACCTTGACATCCTTAACAAGGTACCAATTAAGCACCGTCATGAGAGCCTTTTGACTGACTATTAGCTCCTTCAAGAACAGGAATTCAGGAGTGATCCTTTTTTTTTCTTTGTTTAAATAGCTGTCCGATGGTTAATTTTCCAGAAGCTCTTACTCATTCTCATATCATACATTGTGAATTAGGTGAAAGTAAATATTCTGTAATTATTGTGATTTTTATTGTGTGTTATGTTTGAAACTTTTTTATTAATATATTTTTCAACTTTTACATTACAGGAAGATAAAGTTTTAAAGATAGGTTATATCTGAAATTGCAAAACTTTCACATTTCCCTTAGAAATATGCTCTTAGTTTCATATTGTATTCAGTGTTTGTACCTATGTCTTGTGGTTAGGTATTATGATGTGAGGAATACATTTGAAGTTTCATTACAGTAAACAGTGGCGCCAGTTTGAAGCTTGAGATGTATGAGAAGTTTTAACAGGTAAATTTTCTTGCTACTATAATCTAAGCACTACCTGTGCTATGTTGGCAAGAGAGCAAAATTGTGGCATCATATAGTATGGAGTCATATATCTTATTGTAGCCAGAATTTGTTCTAAAGCATTAATTTTTGTTGGGGGAAATTAAATGCTGTACCTTGAATGTTTGATGTGGACTATGAATTACATAGAAAGAATTAATTAATTGAATATAAGCACAATATCTACTTTTTTACTGAATAAGTTTTATTAGTGTGGTTCTTCTATATAACCCTTGAGTTTGTATATGTTATCTCAGGCATTTTTTGGGGTACATGATTAAAAAGAAAATTAAGCTGGACTCCTTAAAAATATTATGGACATTAGAATTAAATCTTTTGTGAAGAAAATTAATTGTAGTAAAATGCAATATATATATTCATAGTTGCTGTGGATATGGACTCTGTATTATATTTTGTGCAGCAATTTTTAAACTGGCCCTTTCACATGAAAATGCTTTATCTTCACAAAGAGTATTTGCCATATGACCTTGTTGACACTTAATTTTGGCATGTTCCACAGTGGCTTGTTAAGCATGTGATGATTTTATAATGTACTGTTGGTAATTAGCAATTTGTTACCATCACCAGATAAGTTGCACAGTAACCCTTTCTCATCTCAGAGACACATATTAGCAAATTATTTTTTGTACTGTATACCCATTCTTTGTAGTTCTTGTCATTCTTTGTTGGATTAGATAGGCCTTTTATAACCATAACAATTGAACTGGGCAACTCTTTCATTACTGTTACTAAGCTTTCTGGATTAATACAAGATACCATTGGGTATTATTTGGTGGGATTATCCCACAAATATTAACATCTTTCAGATACAACCATAGCCCATAAAAATAGTTATGAGATATATGCACTGCTATTATAAGTACAGTATAAGGCCAAACAAGCATTATATTATATCATCAGCATGCATCTTGCCCATTACATATTGGTTAGGTAAGGTTTGTCTAGTAACTGATAATGTGATGGAAGTGAGAGTCATTCTTGGCATTAGACTGTGGAGATATGTAGCAGGAGATTTAGCTCTTGTCCCACATGTTCCTTCTTGTGAGAGTTGGCCTTTAATATGGAAACACCACTTTCAATCTCTGGAAAATACTGCCTATTGGAAGAGAAATACTGATGATGTTTTGTAATAATCCAGTGTCCTGTACTGTGTTCCACCTTCTTTTTTGGCAGGATGACAGCATTTAGTCTGGTATGTCATAGAATCATCATCTGTTCCGAATCTCAGTTTTATTGCTTTTTGTGAAATGAGATTTGATCTTTTGGGGTCTTACTTTTATAGGAAAAGTTCCAGTTCATGGTTTGATGGGAAGGAGTATTGTACAGTATTAGCAAACTTCGTCATCATCCCATTATCACTGGTTTTGGATGAACTTGACTGTGAAGTGCATCAGCAGCTTCTGAGAATGGGGGGGGAGCGGATTTATTACTAAGAGCAGAGACGTTACCGAGAACAAATTCTGGCTTGAATGTCATGTACACTAATACTGACACGTTCCTTGATAAGAGAGAGGAATTTGAAACACTACTAAGAGTACACCATCCAGATATTGTAGGTGTTGTAGAACTGTTGTACAAGAACAGGAGAATCGACCCAGAGGAATGTGAGTTCAGTATTGCTGGATATGACTCATTTACGAACCTTTCTCAAGAAACTTGCAAGAGGGGTGTGGTTATCTATGCTAGGCAAGACCTTAGAGCCAGCCAGGCGAGGGTACAGGGAGAGGATGTTTTTGAAAAGTCCAAGTGGTGTAAAATTAAATTAAAAGGGAGGGGACTTACTTATCGTCAGGTGTATCTACAGATCCCCAAACTGTGGCCCACTAAATCAAAGGAACTTAAGAACCTTAATAAACAATGCGGCGATGCTCAATCCAAGCCACTCCTTATCATGGGGGACTTTAACTATGACAACATCGACTGGAGAAACGAGTCCACCCCGAATGACTTGAATAACCCTTCTACTCTTTTTGTAAAAACTTGGAGAGATAATTTTCTGTTCCAACATGTTAGAGACCCGACTCATTACAGAGGGGAGCAAACACCCAAGCCACTTGACCTCATCATAACAAACAAGGAGGGTATGGTGGCCAAACTGGAACTCCTTGCCCCAGTTGGCACCAGTCACCATATAGTGTTGTCATTCAGATTTAACTGTTACCTAATTCAGGGTAAGGCCAGGCCAAGGTGCAAATATTACAGGAGAAATTACAATGGGATGAGGTAAGAGATGAGGGGTATCAACTGGCCTGCCTCATTAAGGTACAAGAACGCAGACACTACGCTGAATATCATAACTAGTAAAGTGACCCATTTGATCGATTAATATATACCTAAGACAAGACCAAACCCAGTGCTTCTAGGAATACAAGGGGATCCCTACACATGAACCATGGTCGACAAAATTAAGAAGAAAACACAGAAATTCAAGACGTGGGTTGGGTCAAACGATGAGCAACACAGGAGGATGTATGCAAGAGCCAGAAACCAAGCAAAGATAGAGAGTAGGAGGGCTGAAAAGGAGTTCCAGAGGCTGGTTGCAAGCGAGGTCAAGTCAAACCCAAAGGCGTTTTACCTCTATGCAAAGTCGAAATTGAAAACGCGAGTAGGAGTATCAGACCTGAGGCTGGTGGATGGTAGTTACGCAGATTCTGACCAGGATAAAGCTGAGGCATTGAACAGCTTCTTTTCCTCGGTGTTCACATGAGAGGATGCAACTAACCTTCCTGCGTTTGAGGACAGACGGTTCGACACAGCACTGACCCACATTGTGTTCACAGAAGAGGGTATTAGAAATAAACTGTCCAGGCTAAAGGTCCATAAGAGTCCCGGACCTGACATTGTGCATCCTAGAGTGCTAAGAGAGTTGTGCAACGAGCTTGCAGACCCACTGAAGATCCTGTTTTGTAAATGCCTGGATGAACAAATGGTCCCCAGTGAATGGAAAGTGGCTTATGTGAGTCCTATCTTCAAGAAGGGCGATCGTCACTCCACGAACAACTATAGACCGGTGAGCCTGACCAGCATAATATGTAAAGTACTTGAGAGTATTATCAGAGATGCTGCAATGGAACATCTAATACGAAACAACCTTGTAAAAGATTGCCAACACAGTTTTATGCCGGGGCGCTCCTGCTTAACACAATTGCTCAAGGTATTGGATATTTGGACCCATATTCTGGAACGGGGTGGTAATATCGACAATATTTACCAAGATTTTGCCAAGGCTTTCAACAGTGTACCCCACGAAAGGCTGAAAATCAAACTGGAAGGGTACGAAATTCGGGGAAATGTCCTAGCATGGATAGAAGACTTTCTACATGACCGCAAGCAGTGTGTGGTTATTAATGGCACGAAATCGTCATCTGTACCTGTCACAAGTGGGGTACCACAGATCAGTATATTGGGCCCGCTGTTGTTTGTTTGTTTCATAAATGACATGCCTGACGTTGTACACTCCTCCATACAAATGTTTGCCGATGATGCCAAGTTATTTCGGGAAATTAAGAACCAAGCGGACTGTGAAGAACTGCAGAAGGACCTCTGTGGGCTCCAGGAATGGTCGAAGAAATGGCTGCTGAGATTCAATGTCACGAAGTGTAAGAGGATGCACCTGGGGCGTGCCAACGGTAAGGAGGCGTATCATACAGTATGTCCCAACGGGATGAAGAAACTGCACCAGTTGAGAACTGTGTGAGAAGGACCTAGGTGTGATAAATAATAAAATAAATAAATATTGAAGTGATAACCGTGGTAACACTATGAGATGTACTTATTACTACCATGCTATTGTACTATTCCAGATGAAACTAAATGTTACATAATACTTCCTTGAGATAAATGTATAGTATATATCAGGTGCCTCAAAGAGAGCTCAGGTTCTCAACTGGCTCAGCCATGTTAATATTGTTATTATTATACACTCTGTATCTGTATTTTTCTGGCTAAATAAACTGTTACAATTCAATTCAATTCAATTCACAATGAGCTGAACTTCTCGGGCCATTGCGAGAAGAAGGTAAATCAGGCAAATAAATTATTGGGTCTTATAAGAAGGTCGTTCGGATATCTAGACGGTACGTCCCTTGTAACAATCTTTAGGAGTGAAGTGCTTCCCCATCTGGGGTACTGTCACCCCATCTGGTCCCCGAGATATGCTAGAGACTGTCAGTTGGTTGAAAATGTTCAAAGGAGGGCCACCAGACTGGTGCCTGCACTTTGGCACCTCAGCTACCCTGAGAGATTGGAGCGCCTGAACTTGCCTAGCTTGTACTACAGACGGGCAAGGGGAGACCTAGTTAAGGTGTATTAGCATCTCAGGGGGCACTACTCAGTTGAGTGTCCTTACTTGGAGCTGGCGGACGCTCGCCCCACAAGGGGTCACAGCTCAAGATTGAAGAAGCCGCAAGTCCAGAAAACCGTGAGGGCAAACTTTTTCGAGTGAGGGTTGTAAACTCTTGGAACAATCTACCAGAGAGTGTTGTGACGGCACCGAGTGTGAGCTCTTTCAAGACAAGACTTGACCAACACTGGAGCAGGTTCAGGTACATTCAGGAGCCGGTGCATGCCCAGTATTTGCCAACAGTGCGTGACAGAGACGTGACCGATCGCCCGGGCGGCTAGCGAGCTGATCTTTTGGTGAAGAAGATAAATGAAAAGGAAAAGTAATCAGAGACGTGACTGATCGCCCAAGCAGCTAACAAGCTGATCAGTGGCGAAGAGGATAAAAGTAAAAGTAAAATAAATTGTGGCATGATTAAATCAGTACTGGTACCTGAATGTGAAAGCACAATTTGCAGCATGAGAGTGAAGGCTGACATGATTTGTGCAGCATAAGCACAGCTATTGATATCCCAGCCCATCCAGCATGTACAGGTAAGGCCACCTCTGTACCAAGAAATGGAAAATGCTCTGAACATTTGGATATTGAGCATGCAATG